AAAAAAAAAAAAAAAAAAAAAAAAAAAAAAAAAAAAAAAAAAAAAAAAAAAAAAAAAAAAAAAAAAAAAAAAAAAAAAAAAAAAAAAAAAGGGAATCCAAAGGAGGGGGTTTAAGGACCACATAAAAACTCAAAACGGAGAATTGAAGCATACATCATACCTGTGATGCCATGCTCAGATCAGTGCTCTTCTCCACCAACGAGTCCAACCGCTCACCACGTGCCAACACGCTATCAATAGTCTTGTGCTGCATCCATCCAAAGAAGCAATAATGCATCACATTCAAAATTTCAAATTGATTCCATAGTATCAATACATCAATTCACATTCAATTTCCAAGTTGGACCCCTCTCTCTCTCTCTCTCTCTTTCTCTCTCTCTCTCTGTGAATGATGAATGATAAAAGTGATTGGGAAAAAGTGTTCTTAAACAGTCACACCTACCAAAATAATCTTCGTTTCATCAAGATCACGCTGAATCTTCATAAGCTTGTCGGCCTCCACTGGGTCCTGCATTTCAACAACCATTTCCAATCCATCATCCGGCAAGCTCCTCGTCAGAGGATAATCACAACAAAGTGATGTAGAGAAACCAAAAACCTCTAAACGTGTGAATCTCACAGATATTCTGCAACAGCAAGCGCTGCCACCTTCACAGCTGAGAGCACAAAACAACCAACATTTCCATCAATAAAATAAGAACACCAAAAACCGGAAAAAAAAAAAAAAAGACAATAAAACACGAGCGACACGAATGCCAATAAAAGGATATGCAGTTTCAAGTCCTAGTTTTCTCCCTACCACAGTCTAGATCTTGCATTCACTGGACACGTGAAGAATGATGCAAACAGCTCAGAGTCAAGACGATCGAGGATTCAAGACTGAGCTCCATTCCAGATGCATCTCTCTTTTGCAGTTGAGACATTCTGAACAGACATTCTTGATGACATTCATCACAGAAACTGGCACATCCGCTGGATTCCACTGAAAAGATCTGTCATCTTCAACTAGATATGCAAATGTGTCTAAATATCTTATAGTTGTGGATGCATCTCCAAATGGATTCCACAGAAACTGGCACATCCGCTTATTCAAGAAGCTGCGGATACAAATGCAGGTCTAAATATCTTATAGTTGGAATTTGACTTTTTTCCTTATGCCTGCCAAGGATTAGCAATTGCTGACAAAACGCAGTCTCAGGATGGTATCTCTTCCAGGAAACTAGACGCCACGTCACCCCTCTCTCCAATGCATTTGTGTTCAGGAGCTCATTCCAGGGGCTGAGCAATGTATCATAGTTTTTTCCCCTCCCAAGATCTGTCAATGTTAGCAAAATGCACCCTTATGAAGGGAAAAGACACAGCGTGCTAGTTCATATAAAGACGCCCACCAACATCTGCTTACCAAACCAAATAAGCATGTGATGAGACATCCGAAGTTGCATTTGAATTCTGAAACTGAAATTTGTGAAGCGGCCAAGTTTTCACCTTACACCTGCTTCCAGGAGGACGCGGG